AGACCAGGCTGGCCTTGAACTCACAGAGATCCTCCTGCCTCTGCCTTCCAAGTGCTGAGATTAAAGGCGTGCACCACCACGCCCAGCTATGAAACAATTAATTTTTAAATTAAAAGAACAAGGCAAAATATTAATAAGATAATTTGTTTTGTTTTTTGAGACAGGATCTCTCTCTAACCCCAGATGGCCTGGAACTTGCTATGTAGACCAGACTGGCCTCAGTCTTGGAGAGATCCGCCTGCTTCTGACTCCTAAGTACTGGGATTAAAGGCGTGCACCACCACATGCTCATTTGTTTTTGAGACAGGGTTTCACTATGTAGCTCAAGCTGCCCTCAAGTTCTTAATCCTTCTGCCTCAGCTTACTGAGTGCTAAGACTACAAACATCCTCCATCAGGCCCAGCCCTGCTCCCCCTTCATTATTTATTGATTTTTTTTTTTTTGAGGACTGGAACTCAGTGTTCTGTGCATATTAGTCAAGTGCCATACCGTTGAGCTACATCCCCAGCTGCACAATTTGGGTTATTCAGCAAACTCCTGCTTTGTGTCAGGCATTTGTAAAACTAGTGATGTCCAATAGATAGATAGAGCCTCCCATGACAGTTGACATTTTTGAGTCTCATTAAAAGTGAGAAGAGGGGCTGGAGAGATGGTTCAGCGGTTAAGAGTACTGGCTGCTCTTGCAGAGGAGCTAGATTCAATTCCCAGCACTCACATGGTGGCTAACAATCATCTGTAACTTCAGTTCCAGGGGAATACAATGCCCTCCTCTGATCTCCATAGGAATTACATGATGTGAGTGTACTTACACACATATAGACAATACACATAAAATAAAAATAATAAAGTGCTAGATGTGGTGGCATATGCCTTTAGTCCCAGCACTCAGGGAGGCAGAGGCAGGTGGATCACTGTGAGATCAGGGCTAACCTGGTCTACATAGAGAGTTCCAGGCTAGCTGAGGCTATGGGAGGACCCTATCTCAAAAAGACAATAAATGAACAAATAATAAATAAATAAATAAATAAATAAATAAATAAATAAATGGGCTGGAGAGATGGCTCAGTGGTTAAGGGCACTGGCTGTTCTTGCAGAGGACATGGGTTCAGTTCCCAGCATCCACATGGTGGGTAACTCCCCTGTAACTCCAGTTTCAGGGGACCTGACTCCCTCTTCTGGTCTCTTCAGGCATTGCATGACATGGGTGCACTTACATGCATGCAGGCAATACACTCATACACATTCAATAAATAAATAACTAAAATTTTTTAAGTGAGAAGAGGAGCTTGAGCACTGCCCAACCTGTTAAGTGTAGCCTAACCCCTCATCAAAGAAGCTTCTATTTGCAGCAGACACAGGCTACTACAGAGATTCATAACTGGACAAGATGCAAAGAATCAGTGACCATGGGGTCCAGTCCCAGTTGATGCGCATGTCTAATGCAACCCCTATACTTAAGACTCAGGGAACACTGCAGGAGAGGAAGGTGGAAAGATTGTAAAAGCTCAAGGCCCAGGATGCCTGCTGCTCAGTAGTATCTTCTAGATATGACAGGGAAGCTTCATCCATGAAGTCTCAATAATGAGGTTACCTAAACAAGACCTGCATCAACACCACCAGCTGATGGGAATTTCACACAGGGTCCCATCATTCAATGAAGAGCTTCAGGCAATCAATGGCTGCAGGGAGGGAGAATCAGTTTTCCCCAGGGATCAGCCCCCTGGTAGTTTATCTGATCTGAGTACTCAGAGCCTAAATACTTGTACAGACAAGCAACTCCAGATAGACTCTGAGGGTTGTGTATGTATATATAAATATATATGTAACAACAATAAGAGGTCATGAGTTTGAGGGTGTGGGGCACAATAGGAGTTGGAAGGGAAGAGGGAAGAGTGGAAATTCTGTAAATGCAGTACTCATGTATGAAAGTCTCAAAAAATGTAAGTGAAAAGTGGGCCAGACAAGATGGCTCATTAGGTGCAGGCACTTGCCACCAAACATAATAACCTATGTTCGATCCCTGGGACCCATGCACATGATGAAGAGAGAGAACCAAGACCTGCAAGTTGTCCTCTGACCTCCATACCATTACTGTGGCATGTGCCTGTGCCCCTTCTTCCATGCATAAATGACAAATGTAAAAAAATGGTTTTTAAAGTGAAAAGAGGTTTGCAAGATGGATTAGTGGGTAAAAGTACTTGCTGGGCAAGCCTGATGACCTGAGTTTGGTCCCTAGATCACATGGTGGAATGAGAGAGCAGACTCACAAAAGTTGTTCTCTGCCCTCCATATGAATGGCACGGCATATGTACACTTGTACTCACAATCAAATACACAATAATAATTATAAAGAAAAGTGAAAAGACACAACTTTATCCTGCTATCCAAAGTCAGTATATAGAATCAATATAAAAATATTTTTGGGCCGGGAGTGGTGGCGCACACCTTTAATCCCAGCTCTTGGGAAGCAGAGGAGTCGAATTTCTTTGAGTTCAAGGCCGGCCTGGTCTACATAGTGAGTTCCAGGACAGCTGGGGCTACAGGGAGACCCTGTCTCAAAAAAGCCAAAAAAAAATATATTTTTGGGCCGGGCATGGTGGTGCACATCTTTAATCCCAGCACTCGGGAGGCAGAGGCAGGCAGATCTCTCTGAGTTCAAGGCCAACCTGGTCTACATAGCAAGTTCCAGACCAGCTAGGGCTACAGGGAGACTCTGTCTCAAAAAGACCAAAAAGATTTTTGGGGTGCATGCATGGTGTGTATGTGTGTGCATGCATGTGCACATGCATGCACAGATGTATATGACACATGCATGTGAAAGTCAGAGGGTGATAGCCAGTGTCTTCCTCAATTGCTCTCCACCTTTTTTTTTTCTTCAAAATTTTAATTTTATGTATGAGAGTGTTTTGCCTGCCTGTAAGTGTACCCATGTCATACAATGCCAGATGAGGGCATCTGATCCCCTGGAACTGGAGTTAGGACAGTTGTTAGCCACCATGAGGGTGCTGGGAACCAAACCCAGGTCCTCTGCAAGAGGAACCAGTGCTCTTAACCACTGAACCATCTCTCCAGCTCCCTGGAAATTGAACTTAGGCCATTAGGCACCTTTACCCATCTTGATAGCCCTA